AAATACAAACTATACACATTATTTGATTAAATGAGCTATTATGACTAGGGGAGTATTCGAGTTATAGTGATTGGTCATACGCGCGTATGAATACTTGTTGGAGGATGTAAACAAAGATAGAGCACGCAGGGACATTCGAGTGGATTTTGCAGATTCTTTTGTCTGTACAACTAAAGAATCAGGGTCCCGTTTGTTTGTATGGCGGCCATGATGGATACGTACGGAAGTGATTGCCAGTTGCCAGATGAGCGGGAGTATGCTAAATTATTATTATATTTTTGGCAAAATTAGCAAGTTAGTTCCTGCCCGTAAAATTACAACCTCTGAATGAGTATAAGTATACCAAATTATTAATTTCTTTATTAATAAGATTTATTTAATGTTTTTTTGGCAAAATTAACATGGAATTGCTGACAGAAAAAAGGTAGTTCCCGCCTAAAAAAGCTAGAGGACTCCAGTAAAATTTCTTGGTTTCTTACTGCGTTTACTATTCTTACTGTGTTTTCTAGTATCATCCATTGCGTGTGTACTGTGTTTTCTAGTATTATCCATTGCGTGTGTACTTCCATTGCGTAAAATTTCTACATTGTGTGAGTAGTTTCCATTGTTTTAAATCATGTGAAAGAATAGTCTGTGGCATTGAATCTATTGTATACCTACGCTAGCACAGAGGAGGATGCTGTTCTGTTTTTGCAGCAGAGTTTTGCGACAGACACCACCAAATTGTTCTAGGTGCGGTAGGGTAACCACTTTAGTAAAGAGAGGGGACGATAAATGTTTTAGGTGCCGAACGCACGAAGGTGAAAAAAACTGAGCTTCATGATGGTTCTTACTGGAGATGGAGCAACTTTCGCTGTGCTAAAATGGTAGAACTTTTGTTCCTTTGGAGCTTCAAAACGTAACTGTGGTTTTCACCGGATTGAGCGTACCAACAGTAATCTAGTGGTTCGCCTATTTCCGTGATATTTGTAGAGACGGGCTCATCAAACACCCATACCAGATTGGAGGACCTGGGGTAGTAGTCAAAGTCGACGAGAGCCTAGTAGCAAAGAGGAAAAATCACACAGGACGCGTTGTTCCCCAACGCTGGGTGTTTGGCGGCGTGTACCCTGCTACAGGGTCCAGATTTCTGGAGGTAGGGCCTGACCGGACTGCCCAAACCCTTGAGGCCTTTAATTAATTGAACAATATATATAGCACAATAGCACCAGGCAGTATTATCCACACTGATGCATGGGCAGCGTACAAAATAACATCTCAGAGTCAAATTTGCCTGTAAATCCGCGCGCTAATTTGCATTGTTTGAACTGATAGGTCATCTGGGTATCTCTGCATTGTCCCGCTCATTTTAGTTTGTACCTCTGTCGTTTGTCGATGAGGCATGATGTCGAATCATGGCTTCCTATCATGACTATTTCGGCTTATTTCGTTTAGCGGAGATTTTACATTTCAATGGACTGAAGGAGTGGTTGAGAAGCAGACAACTTTTAATTGATTTTTCGGACACAACGTGCAATTGTGGTGCATATTTTTCGTCATTAAAGGATAGTTCCGCTTCTGTGGATAAAGAAATGTGGAGGTGTCAGAATAGACAGTGCAGGAAGAAATTAAGTATCCGGACATTAAAAATGAATTTTATTTCAGAGGATATTTGTTAATTTTTCCGAAAAATTATGAAAATTTGGAGCCGTCTTTAAAAATCCACTCTTTGTAAGACTTGAAGAATGGACGTTTGAAGTCGGCACTTTCCGTAGTTTTCCGACAAACGCCGACGACCTGATACGAAACTGAGGCTTTCTAGTTTAGCGTCAGTAGCGGGTCTCTTGAACTGTGTCTGTGTTTTCGCCCAAGGTAAGTGTTTTGCAATGTTTTTTACCCCTTTTTTTTTGTAAGACTGCGACGACCGCGATTTGGCGTTCGCCTCGCCCCAGCCTCGTCCGGCCCCGGTGTTCGCCTCGCCCCAGCCTCGCCCGGCCCCGGTGTTTGCCTCACCCCCACCTTCCACCACAGCCCCAGTGTTCGCCTCGCCCCAGCCTTTGCCCCCAGCAGTGTGTTCCTCCCCCCATCTTCGTCCTGTCACTACCCCAGTATTTGCCTCCTCACTCCTCAACGCTCTGGACTTATCAACATCAGTCCCCAGACAGTCCCCGCTTCCTGTAACATCAGCTGCACCGCCCTCAACAACTCCCATAAGGGCGAGTAAAACAATGAGGAATTTGTCATCGCATATTAAATCGGACATTAAAAAGAAAGTGAGAACCCCTGAGGAGTATGCCGATGTTGTGCGACACCTGGCGACTCCCAGGACTCCAGAAAAGAGGAGGGCCCTACTTGCTGTAGGGGTACAGCAGCAAGTCGATAGGCCATTACGACCTGTGCCTCCGCAGAAGGTACAGCCCAGTAGAAGGAAGCGTACACCATCACCGGTTCAGACTCGAG